TCTTAGGATTTTATTTTTTCCTTTTTCTCCCCAAAGCCCCTCCAGTACATAGTTGTATATTCTTCGTTGTGGGTCCTTCTAGTTGTGGCATGTGGGATGCTGCCTCAGCGTGGTTTGATGAGCACTGCCATGTCCACACCCAGGATTCGAACCAACGAAACACTGGGCCGCCTGCAGCGGAGCACGCGAACTTAACCACTCAGCCATGGGCCAGCCCTGAGGGGCTATGTTTTTAATGTTAGTAGATAATACCAAATTACCTTTCCCAGAAGTGGTAGGCATTTATATTCCCACCAGCGTATGACACTGTCTAGTCTGCCACATGTTCAGCTGAGAGCTCTAAATTTTTCTCAGTAATTAGTTTTTAAAATAGGTAGTACATGCAAATGATGAAAACAATACAGAAGAGTATATAGTGAAAAGTATGTCTCCTTTTCATGCCTGTCTCCCAATGGTCCAATTCTTCTTCCCAAAGACAACCTTTTCTTAGTGTCTATCCAAGATATTTTATGAATATACAAGCATATATGTGTATACAATTTTGTTTTACATAAATGACAGTTCCAGACCTTGCTTTCTACACTTAACAACATATCTTGGAGATTATACCATAGTAATATAATCTAGAGCTGCCTCATTATTTTAGCTACTGAATAGTATCACGTAGTATGGCTACATTATTTTAGCTACTAATAGTATCACATAGTATGGATACAACACAATCTAATAAGTTCTTTATTGATATCAAGATTATTTTCAGTCTCTTGTTGTTATAAATAATGCACAGTGAATATCCTGTAGGATAAATTCATAAAAATGAAAGCATTAAAAATAAATGTGCATTTTTAAAATGAACATATTATTGAAATATAACATACAGAAAAGTACACATAAGTACACAGGTCTATAAATTTTCACAAAGTAAATGCACCCATATTATTACACCCGGATCGAGAAACACGTGTTACCAGCAACCAGAAGCTTCCTCATGCCCTCTTATTTGTTACTAACCCACTTCACATAAAGGTAACCACTAATTTCCAACACTGTAGATTAATTCTGCCTGGTTTTGAACTTTATAGTATAAGTATTATTTGTTTTAACAGATGTCTCTTTGTAGACATCGTGTCACTTTACACATCCACCTGCAGTATAGTATGACAGTGCATGTTTCCTAACACCTTCACCAACCCAATGGGTTATTAAACTTTTTGATTTTTACCACTTACCCAAGTGGAAAGTATTGTCGCTTTTATTTTGCATTTTTCTTATACTGAGTAAAATTCAGCATCTTTTCATATGTTTAAGAGCCATTTATAGTTTTACTTCTATGAATGATCCTTGTCCGTTTTCATTTTCTTATTGATTTATAAATGCACTATAATATATATTAGGGTAATTAATCTTTTGTGATATATGTTGCAAATATTTTCCCTAGTTTATCATTTATCTTTGATTTTATTGTTTTTCCTACAGACATTTTTATCAGTCTTTTGTTTTTTGCCTGTTTGTTAGGTATAACACTGATTTTTTTCGTGACTAGTGAGATTGAGTGTCTTTCTTCATGGTTTTTGATTATTTGCATTTTATCTTCTCGATATTGCTTCTTTGATATCTTTTGTTTTCTATTGGATTATCATCCTCTAACTCATACCTAGAAGCTCTTTGTATATTAGTGATAGTATTTCTTTGTAATGTATGTTTAAAAAAGTTCACCCCCTTGGGGCCAGCCCCACAGCGTAGTGGTTAAGTTTAGCACACTCTACTTCAGCGGCCCGAGTTCATGGGTTCGGATCCCAGGCACAGCCCTACACCACTCAGCAGCCATGCTATGGCGGCGACTCACATATAAAGTGGAGGAAGATTGGCACAGATGTTAGCTCAGAGCAAATCTTCCTCAGCCAACAAAAAAAATAGTTCACCCCCTTGTCATTAGTTTTTTTAAATTTTATGGTTTCTTTTTTATTTTGTAACAGCTTTGAGATATAATTCACATACCATACCATTCACCCATTTGAAGTAACCAATTCCATGGCTTTTAGGATATTCACAGAATTATGCAACCATCACCACAATCAATATTAGAACATTTTCATCACCACAGAAGAAACCCTGTGCCCTCTAGCTATTACCCTCAGTCTTCCCAGCCCTAAGCAACCACTCCTTTCTGTACCATAGATTTGCATATCCCGCACATTTCATATAAGTGGGATCATATAATGTGTGGTCTTTTGTGACTGACTTCTGTCACTTAGTAAAATGTATTCAAGGTCCATCCTTGTTTTAGCAGACATCAGTGCTTTATTCCTTTTAATTGTCAAATAATGCCCCATTATATAAATATACCAACATTTTGTTTATCCATTCGCCAGTTGATGACATTTGAATGGTTTCCACCTTTTGGCTATTATGAAAAATACTGCTGTGAACATTCATGTACAAGTTTTTGTGTGGACATATATTTTAATTTCTCTTGAGGTATACCTAGGAATGGAATTGCTGGGTTAAATGGGAACTCTATATTTATCCTTTTAAGGAATTGCCAGATACTTTTCCAGAGCAGCTGGACCATTTTACATTCCCATCAGAAGTGTATGAAGGGTCGAATTTCTTAACATTCTCACCAGCATTTGTTATTATTTGACTTTTTTATTATACCCATCTTAATGGGTATGAAGTGGTATCTATTGGTTTGTTTTGTTTTTTACCAGTGTAACCATTTTTTTTTATTGTGGTAAAAAACATGTAATATAAAATTTACCATCATTAACCATTTTTAAGTGTACACCTCTGTAGAGGTGAGCACATTCACATTGTTGTGAAACAGATCTCCAGACTTTTTCATCTTGCACATCTGAAACTCTGTACCCATTTAACAACAACTGCCCCTCCTCCCACCCCAGCCTCTGGGAACCACCATTCTCCTTTCTGTTTCTATGAATTTGACTACCTCCTATAAATGGAATTGTACAATATTTGTCTGTTTGTGACTGGCTTATTTCACTTAATATAATGTCCTTAAGGTTCATCCATGTGTAACAGGTGACAGGATTTCTTTCCTTTTTAAAGCTGAATAATATTCCATTGTGTGTATATACTACATTTTGTTTCTCCATTCATCTGTCATTGGACATTTATTTGGGTTGCTTCCAGCTCTTGGATATTGTGAATAGTCTACATTTCATTGTGGTTTGGTTTGCATTTCCCTGATTACTGATGATGTTGAGCTATTTTCGTGAGCTTTCTATATCTCTATATCTTCTTTGGAGAAATACCTATTCAGATCCCTTGCTCATTTTTTTAATTGGGTTGTCTTTTTATTATTGAAATATAAGACTTCTTTGTATTATTTGTGTCTTTCCCAAATGTAATTTTTATGTTATGAGTTAAAGTCTAACTTCATTTTCCTCCATATAATAAATTATCTCATACCATTTATTGAATAATCTATCTTTTCCCTTCTTTAACAAGTATTTATTGAGCAAATGCATTGGGTTAGGCCCTGAGAAAATAAGGATAAAATGATGCAGAGCTTACATATAGTTCAAAGGCAGACTTGTGATTAAGTAATTACTGTTCAGCAAGATAACGGTTTAAATGAAAGTTCATGAAAACCATTTTGGGACAAGTGGAGAAGAAGCACCAGTCTGCCTAGAGCTGAGAGAAGAGGAGCAAAGGAGAGGGCAAAGTCAGGTCATGGACAGTTTGAGAAGGAAAGGATGAGAACCAGACACTACTGGGCTAGGACACTTAAACTTTGGAAGCCGTTCTTGCAAGTGTAAAACGTTTGTTTCACTGTGTCCTCAGTTGTTCATGTAAACATGCTATGGTAAAGGAACAGCTTCTTCTTTTGTGATGATATGCCATGCTCCTTTCTTGGTGTCTGTACTTTATGCTCTGCCCAGGTATAATATTTCTATTAGAATGATTGTCATGTCACATTCATAGACTATAAATAAGAAACCATTTTCCTATGGATATATTTGAACAAATATTCATAATTATTATTGAAATAATTCATGCTTGAGCAGAACGGTCAGCTGTCTTTCTTTAACTTGTAACATAGCATATTTAATAGCACATAGTGTCCACTTTCTTACAAAGGTCTCACTTCACGGGAAGTGGTGGTAATATAGCTATGTTTTAAAACTCATGTTGCTTACATAAAGAATGTTCAGATATTCTGTCTTGTTTCTTTGTTGTGATTATAGAATAAATGTGTCATTGTCATTTTTGTATATTTGTTGTAGACCCATCAATTATTTTATAGTTATGTTTTCCATAATAGTTATCAAGGGTGGCCAGAATCTTTGACCCAGAAACTGACTAGATAAATGGAAAAGGTTTAGTTTGAGATATAAAGTGCTAAATGTTCGATTTGTTTTTCTCGGTATACTTTTTTTTTTTTTGGTGAGGAAGCCCTGATCAAACATCTGTTGCCAATCTTCCTCTTTGTGCTGAGGAAGATTGTATCTGAGCTAACATCTGTGCCAATCTTCTTCTATTTTGTACGTGGAATGCAGCCACAGCATGACTTGCTGAGCAATGTGTAGGTCTGCACCTAGGATCCAAACCTGTGAACCCCAGGCCACCAAAGTGGAGTGTGCAAACTAACCACTACTCCACTGGGCCAGCCCCCTCACTATACATTTTAATTGGCGCTTTTCTGTTAGATTCTAAGTCATCCTTGGAATTTAGCTAACCACTTAGAAAATAGAACCAACAGTAGGTATGGTATGATGTAACTATCAGTAATTATCTCACCTATATATTTCACAAAATAGCATCTTGACTGTTTCATAAAGGCTTGTGAAATATTGGTATAAAATGAACAACAGAAAACTTAATTTACTCAGATCTAAAGAAATCAAATTGGTTTCTGCTTGTGTTCATGAATCAACAGAGCATATTAACAGATTTTAGGTGAAAAGATAGAACTCACTTTAAATATAGGCTTACATTATAACAGTAATAATAGCCTTTTCTTTATTTTTCCACAGTTCTTAGTGGTCTCTGTTCTAATGACTGTCCTCGTAAGATAACAGTAAGTAAACTTAACTCTTAGTTGTAAATATTTCTGTGAAAATTCTCTGCATGATAAAAGATATACACAAAATAGTTGTTATAGGTTATAATCAAATTGTTTTTCCTCTTTAGAAATTATTAAAGTATCCTTCAGGGCTCAAAAAAACTTTACTGGGAATAAGGTACCTTGCCTAAAAACTTCCTCACCTCACAGTTCACCTCCTTTATGAAGCCTTTTCTGATACCCTTCAAAAAATGACTACCCCTCCAATTATATTTGTACATACTACTGCCATTTTGGCATCTGTAAAACTTGATCACACTTACCTGTTTATATTAAATGCCTCTCCACACTAGACTGTAATTCTTTGGGGGCAACCATGCCATCTTTGTATACCTGTTACATAGCACAGGGTCAAGCATATAGTAGACAATTATTAAATTTTTTTGGTATAGTCTTGATATTGACTTGCCGTCTAATAGAATTTTTCAGTGAAATAACAAAATGTGAAATGTGAAAATAATTAGGCTTAGTTTTCAAAATTGCCAGTTCATATAAATTGTAATAAGAATATTACATTATATTTGAAAGCGTGTGTGTGTTGGTATATTCCTGCTTGGGTCCTCAAAGTAACTCTTGTTTCATAAGGAATTATCCCCCATTTAAAGATGAGGAGGGGCCGGCCCAGTGGCGCAGCGGTTAAGTTCGCACATTCCGCTTCCTTGGCCCAGGTTCTCCAGTTCGGATCCTGGGTGCAGACTTGGCACCACTTGGCAAGCCATGCTGTGGCAGGCATCCCACATATAACGTAGAGGAAGATGGGCATGGATGTGAGCTCAGGGCCAGTCTTCCTCAGCAAAAAGAGGAGGATTGGCAGCAGACGTTAGCTCAGGGTTGATCTTCCTCAAAAAAGAAATAAATAAAGATGAGGCAGCTGAGGCTCAGAGAAATTCATTTATCCAAAGTGATAGAGCTTTTAAGTAGCGAAACTAGAACACAAAGCTAGGTGTTCTGATTTTAGTCTCGTATTTTTACTCTCCCATTAAAGCGTTGCATTACCAACATTTTATGTATGGTTGGGAAACTTCCCATATTTAAGATGTGTGGGAACAGATCCTGACCCAGAGATTTGCATGCAGAGATTTACTCTGGACTTGGGAGCAACACCTCTGAAGTAGTGAGGAAGGCAGGATTGGCAGGAGAAGTTGGTCTCTGATGCATGGAGAGCTGTGAAGCTAGGATGGTCCTTCAGAGATGGCCCAAGTTGATGGAAAGGAGCCATGCCTCTGTATTCCTAACATCAATCAGGCATTGCCTGGAGGCAGTCCCCAGGGAGGGGTTATGATTCCTGAGAGCCCGCTTCCTTGGCTGAGAACAATTTCTAGGTAGGAACCTAGCTGGGAGCTATCAGCAGCAACACTTGGAGCGACTCAGGGAATATGTGCCTCAGTCCTGAAGGGAGGTTCTGGACAGTGCGTCACCACCTTCACTGGGAACGGCAACCCCATCTGCTCTTATGTCATAAACGTGGATGTACGGTGGGGGAGGCTGTGAGAGGAGTGATGCAGAGGATATATGAGAACTCTCTGTACTTCCCACTCACCTTTGCCGTGAATCTAAAAAATAAAGTATTTTTAAAAATTTTAAAGTGTAGATGGGATTAATTGGAGGCTAAAGGTTAACTTGGTTATTCAAGTATTGTCCACCCAGCTTGTGAAATATTCAGACCCTTTGTTCCTCTTCCTTGCTCTTACTGACCATATCCCCACTGTGTGGCTCTTTCATTACATGATCAATCAGAGAACTTTAAAACATTGAAATTGAACCCACTCATTTTACCCACAGAAATTTTTTTTACCCGCAGAAATTTTGATAGAAAGGCTATATGATTAAGGCAGATTATACTTCTAACATGAATAAAGCTCCCATTCTTTCTATCTTAAAATAAAAGCCACCTCTATCATATGGAGAACAGAATCGTGGGAAGTCCCATAAGTGGAATCCCGCGTGCAGAGCTGTTGTTACAGTGGTTACTCTAACGGTCCAGCAGCTTCGGGCTTTTCTGCAGGTGATACGTCTGCCTCCCATTCATCTATTCATTACTTTCTTTGAACTTCAGATTCTCTTGAATTGCCCCTCACATATTCATTTTCATTCCCCACTGATATGATAGATCACAATTTTATGACAACCTAAAAGAAACGAATGCACGCTGTACTTCCCCAGTTTTCCATATATGAAATGTATGTCCACTTGTGAAATTATTTCATGAAAAAGTGGATCTTCTTCATATTGTTTTGACATCAGATCCATTTGATCATAATAGAAGTGTTATCATGTTAGTTATGACCCAGTGTGAGACTGAGAGGGAAAATGTAGTTATTATATGACATTCTCTACCTCGAGTTAATGTAAGAGTTGAATAGCTCTTCTGCTGCCTATGTGTTCCCACCTGATGCAGGCAACCTGTCTCATACATGGAGAGAGGAAAGAATTATTCAGGTCAGCAACTAATCCCACCCAGATTCTTTCATCTCCATTTCAAAAATCCCAGAGTTTTTCATTCTTAATCAACTTTAGCTGCTCAGTCTCATGGCCATACTCTAGACCTTATATACCAGAATTGTTTTACTTTTGAAATCTCAGTGCCATCCGTTCACCTCTCTGACCACAGCCTATTTTTCCAGCCCTCTCTCTTATTACTCTACCTGTTCAACGTTAAGACCATTAGTATCTTCACCTGTATCAGGCCCCTCTTGTCTTTACCTCCCTCCTTATTTAGCTACCATCCATCAACCATCACTTCTGCCACTACCTTTAACTCTCAGAAAGCATTCTCCTTCTACTGCACCTTCCTGGCAAAATTACAACCCTGGGTTAGTCGAGCTATCCCTCTTGTTCACTCCTAGACCTAGGCTACTGGGCATTTCTGAAGAAAAAGATATATACAGCCCTGCATATTGGTACCACCACTGATTCATACTCTTCAACCTCAAATCAGTATTCATAATTATAGCATACTCTTATATGGACCTCTGGTCATCTTTTCTCCCATTCTTTTTCTCTGGTTACTTTCAGGATTTTCTCTGTCTTTGATTTTCCACTGATTGACTATGACATGCATAGGTTTAGATTTTTAGGTATTTTTCCTGTTTGGTGTTCTCTAAGCTTCCTGGATCTGCGGTTTGGTGTGGAGACAGGAAGCCTAGAGGGTGTTGAAGGTGGGTGTTTCCTTTCTGCCAGGTTGGTTAGGTTTTGGTAAAACCCAAGTCACTTAAGCTCTGATAAAATAGTTTTCCTTGAGGGCGTTTGTTAAGGAGAACAAAGAGCTCTGGGCATATTTCAAAATGGTTTTTTCCCTTCCTTGTGCTAGAAGCTTGAGAGTTGTATTGTTTGTTTGTTTGTTTGTTTCCAATCTTCCCCCTGAGAATCTGTTGCACTTCTGGAGGTAAAACTCACAAAAGCGTGGGGCTCCTCTAAGACTGCCTCCCCCCTCCCCCCAAGTTTTGAGCTAACTAGTTCACACTGATCCTCTAGCGATTTCTCAATTACAGTTCAGATGTTCCAACCAGCACTGGCTCCAGTTTCAGTCTTCTGCTCCTGGGCTTTTGCTCTCAGGAGGCTCTGACTCTGCGCATCTGCCTTTCTTGCTCCAGTTTGGGAGTAGTTTGCCCTATGACCTCAATTTTCTGATGAATCTGAGAAGAGTTGATTTTCCATTTCTTCTGCTTTTTTGTTGTTGTTGTGAGGATAGGACTGATGATTTCCAAGCTCTTTACATGTCAGACCAGAAAGCAGAAACTCTCCTTGCATTTTTATCAGTATTGCTTTATTTTTCTTGTTTATTTTTGCACCTTTATTGCAGTGCAATTGACGTGCAGTAAACCGCACATATTTCATATATTCAATTTGATGTCATGACATATATTGTGTGTGTGTGTGTGTATATATATATATATATACACAATATATTTTTAATGGCTATATATATTATAACAAACAATATATCATATCCAAAAGTTTTTTTGCACCCCTTGGCTATCCCTCCTTCCGATCTTCCCTGACCGTACCCCACTGTTCCTCAGGCACCACTGAGGTTCTTTGTCAGTGTTGCTTTATCTTAAAAGTTTGTGTCCATGTTACTTCAGGGCTTTTATCAATGTATCATCCTCCATGTCATTTATTGCTCTTTACCTTGAATTCTTCCTTTAACTTCTTTTTTGCAAAATTTTAAGCATCTGTAAAAGTATAGACTAGCATAATAAAACTCCTTGTGCCCGTACTACCACCCAGCTTCAACACTGTCGTCATGTACCCAATCTTATTTCACCTATACCCCCACCTCCTGCTTATTCCACTCACAGCCCCCCTTAGATTATTTTAAGGCGAATCCATCATGTCTTATATTCTATAGATACTTCAGTGTGTATCTCTAAGAGATAAGTAAGGATTTTATATTGTTGACCTTAAACAAATAGCCAGTTATTTTGCCAGCAAAAATGGGTTTATTTGAGATCAGTAAAGACTTGCAAATCAGGATGTGCATGCTATGGTGAACCGCAGGCAAATCCAGAGGGACAAAGGAAGGGACTTGCTTTTATGGAGCAAAAGGGTGTAGGGTGGGGCTGCTCTAAATGAAAGTTCTTTGAGGGAAAATAACGGTTCAGGGTGACAACAGCTTCTCATTGGATGAGCTGTAGCACTTCTCACTGGCTGCGCTATTGCCAGGAGGGGAGAGAAATCTTCCTTCAGTAGTAAAGTAGTTGCACTTCCTACCAGAGATGCGCTTTGAGAAAAATAAAGTCCATACTGTAAGTCAGCTATTTTTCTGATATTTTAGAATCATAAATTTATATTGCATAATTAATATTTATTTTATCTAAAATAATATTTCTTATAAGTTCTTCCAATTTTGTTTTACCATCCAGAGCCAATGTTGTAGAATATACTTGGTCTTCATTGTAGGAGCCCCAGACCTTGAAACAAATCGTTAGATAATCAGGTACTTGACACTGACA